TTCTGCATCGCTCAGCCAGCTCTGGGGAAAGTTCAGCTAAAAACTCCTCTTGCTCTGCTGTTGGCACATTTACCTTCCTACTATTCTTTAGAGACTTTTCCTCACTGCCACTTGTGGATTATCTTCTTGGACAGAGAAAATAATGATGATCAGGTGCATTTTCTTTTTTGCAGTCTCTATTCTTGCACAAGAATATGTCTCTGCAATTGGTGTCACCCTCATGACATCCAAGGCACTTTTTACATGCCCCGATCCTTCTCAGAGCAGCTTTCTTTTCAGCTAGTTTTAACTCTTTAAACTTCTTACAGAAGAAAATCTTGACTTTATGATTTACAGCTTCACACACAGTACACCCACCATCAGAACCTTTCTTTACGGTTCTTGTAGATGCATGCCTCCTTTCAAATCTATTTTCTGTTTTATCTTGTCTTTCTACCTTGTCGGTAATTCTGAGCTGTTCGAGTTTCTCAAGAACGTCTTCCTGTTTCTTTAAAACTTCAAAAGGAGGTCAAAGTGATTCTCTGGAGTTACACCATTACCAGGGACAATCATGAAGATAAGCCAGTCCCTCTTTACAAATTCAGGCAGTTTACTCTCAATAGACTTGATTATGAGAGGGTTCTTAATTGCACCAGTGTTCCCAAGATCTGTCAGGTCAGATAGAGCTTTTTCAACAGTCTGGATCAAGTCTATCACTTTTCTGAGTTGCTGGCCCTTTACAGCAGGAATTCTTTCCAGTTCTTCGATAATTTCCATGGCGATTGTTACCTTGTTGCCATATCAATTTTCCAGCACTCTAAACACATCCTCAGCAGTGCTATAACTTGACAGCCTCCAGTCCTTAACAATTCTGTCATCCAAGCTATCCAGGAGCTGGATTTTCTTGATCTCTGCTGATCCAGTTGGTTCTCCTCGTTTCTGCAAACTTTCCCAATCCTTCTTCCAACAGAAGACATCTCTCCTGATACCACTAAATTTAGGCAAACTAGTTGGTTTTATCCTCACAACTGGTGTAATCAGCATAGTTTGGAGAGCTGTGTTTGGGTCTATAGGACTTGCAAATTGAGAACTTATTTCAGCATTACGTGCAGTAATAAACTCCCCGTTTCTTGAAACGAGTCCATTATTCCGTACTTTTAACTACCTTACTCAGCTCTCAAAGTCCTTTTTTGTTGTAGGAATTCATCGCTCCCAGCTGGATAGAGTTTTGACTGCTCTGCTCACGAGCCTTTCCAAGTGAATTAGTTGAACTCCATATCCTTCATAATTGACATTAGCAACAGGTATTGAAGCAGAATGGTCACAAGCTTTCTCAGCTTCCTGGACTGCAACAGTCAATTCCTCTTGGCCATATCTCTGCCACAAGTTAATTTGGACAATTTTTCTTTGTCTCACAGTCACTAACAGTCTTCTCAATATCTGCTGCCTGCTGCATTTCAAGCTCCACTTTCTCATCACTCTTTGTGTTAGCTTCCAGCTCTGCAAACAATCCCATCGTATAGTCATCGTTTGCATCAAAAAGTGCCCCTTTACTAGAAGAGAGTTTCTGGAATTCCTTCCAGAGTTCAAATTCAATAATTTGACTTGACTCTCGAATGAGAAGGTTTGCTTGCTTGGTAAAACACATCTTTGCAGTGGTTCTCTCTCTCTTAAGTTGGTCCACTGTTTTTCCCAAGGCTTCTTCTGCCATCTTATTTCAAGTCAAATGATATGTCGTCTTAAAACAGCTCAATTAATTCACGGATTACTTATTTTAACAATGTTGATTCTTGTCCTTTGCACCAGCTTTGTTTTCTGGACCATCAGAAGCCGTTAATCTTCTTATCCACAAGTGTGGTTATTAAGTGTCAAGTTATTTAGGGATTCTTCTCAGCCTCAATGTCTACCCAAACTTGAAAACGTCTTCAATCAACTTCAGAGGGTGAATGGAATAACTCAAAACATCTGATTCTTCATCATCAAAGCAATTTATTGAAAATCTTTCAGCAACATCTTGATCTTCCTTTGCTTATTTTCAGAATTTAATTCAGATGCATAGCTCAGATGCTTAGCTTAACCTATACAGAGAAAATATATAAATATATTAGTCACTCCACACAGTAATGCGGTCATTTAAGGATGTTTTAACTAATTTAAACTACAACCAATGCTACTCGAATACTCACAAATCACAAAGTACAGTACATAGCAGTTCAACAGCAACACTAAATCAAATGCATTTACTGCACATGGCCAGTTAGCATATTAGATGCTAAACCCGCTAACATTAACAACTTGCAAGACATTCACAATTGGTCTTTTAAACAGTCTGTAGTCACTAAGGAAATGAGTCTTGATCCTACCATTAGCATCTCAAAGTTGATGAACACATTGTGGCTTTTCCAAGCTGTCTTTGAACAAACTCAGCATGTGGTTTACTCCAAACGCAATGGCTACATCTGTGCATGCTTTCGCAATCTTTCTCCTTTGGTTTTATAACCAGTATCAACACCAACTTGGGTAGGAGAAGCACATTCACTTTGCCAAAAGAGATCCCTCTGCACACTGATAATCAAACAAGCACACCTGGGGCCCGTTTCAATAAGGAGGTTCAACCAACTCTGAATACACTTACCCTGAGATGGGAAACTCTGAATTTTCGGTTTCAGAACAGCTAAATTTACATCACTTTAAAATGGTACTCAAGAAAAGTACAACATTTTTAAACTACTCAAAAAAGTACAATTACTGATAAAAAACTACTTAATTACTGTAACGTGCGTATTTGTAATTCGTTACTTGACACCCCTGTAAATGAGGCCCCTGCTTTAGAAGAACGGTTCGTCTTGAAATCGACGAAAAATTTTATTTACATTTTATCATTTTGCAGACGCTTTTATCCACAGCGACCTCGTCTAACGACTTTGTCTAAGTGAAGTCTAACGCAGTACATGTAGCAAGGGTTTTTGACCTACATTACATATCTACACGATGACCTACATTACATTACGATGTAAAAACTTTAATGTCTAAATTCATCCGCGATGTTTTCGTCTATACTGGCAACTCCAAAGCTTTATTTATTTATTTATTGAATAGCCTGCATTTCATATGTTATCGCCAGGATGCACATCAGTGCTGTATCCATTATTATAAGGATGCAACAAGATTTATATGCAGATGTTGCACTGTAAATAGCTAATTAGTAAGATATACATCACTCTATTAGAGTTAGCCTAAATGTCTTTTTGATTGTATCCTTCATGTTTATTTAAATTTAATTGGGGATATTAGATTAATGTCGATCCATTTTGTTTATTTAGATTTTATATTATTTATATTTTTATATATTTATATATATATTTTTATTTTTATATGGTATAAAAAAAGTATGTCCGCATATTTTAGTAGGCCTATAACTATTTTTATTCTCTGTGATGTATAGCACAGAGAGAGTGAGAACGAAAAATAATATTTGATTCATGAACGAATTTTTGACAGAACTAGATCTAACTATCTTGACTAGACTATCAGAGGAAAATCAAACTAATAAAAAATAAACATAGCTTACATACCAAAACTACTTCATTCAAAACTACGCCATGGTTGCTTAAATAAAGTTTGAATACACTACTAGTTTAAAATCACAGTATAATATAATTTGTGTAAGCCTATGAAACACACCTAGGCCTATATCTCATAATACAGTTTAATTTACATTAAATACCAGCTTCAATGACAGCCCCACAGTAAATCCAATACTGTGCATGTTCGTATTGTACGTATTGGATCTGATCCAGCTACAGCGAGGACCTCTTGGCGTCCATCGCTAATTCTCTCATCAATTTTCATAAACACAGCGAGGGCCATTGTTTTCAGTGAATAATGCTTATTACTCAGTCTGTTTCTTATAGAAGACATTTAGCTCTTTAGCCTATACTTTTGTTTAAACAGACATTTATTAATCTCGTGGTTCTTGGAAAGCCCACTGTGAGTAACGTTAAAATCTCGTGATCAGCAGGTGGTAAATATTTATAATCAGATAAAAATGTATGCTGCACACCTCATTTACAGAAGAACATTCAACATATGCTGGAGTCCGAATGTGACAAATATAACAACATCTGACTGATAGTGACGTCTTTTGAATTTTATTGACCACCATAGGCCTAGTGTATTAGTGTGCTATAATGCCTTTAACTTTGTAATCGGGAAAAACAGCTGGAAGATGGTTATATAGCCCCCATAAAGTCTGTCAGTGTTTATGGGGGCTATATAGGGCATATATAAATATAGATAAATAGTTTGCTTGCAGTTTCTCACAAAGTCTTAAATATTCCCTTATTTTAGTTTGTTCGTAGAGGTTGGATTACTAGCCCAGGTTAAAGATTGCATTTGCTATAATTCATCTTTTTATTTTATATTGTTTTTATTTTTCACTCAGCCAAAACATTTAGACATTTTAGGTTCACCAAGGCAGGCACACCAGTTATGCAAATCCGGATTTTTTTTTTCTTCTTGACCATTTTCTATTCTTCAGTCATTCAAATGATAGAATACAGCAAAGCATACATGTGTAGACTCATTGTTTATGGAGGCGTTCTAAATCACCCACAGATGCTGTGCAATGAGGTACAGGGTTCAGAATACACATGGATACTATGGTAGTCACAATGATACAGAGACGCACACGTCACCGATCTTTTATGTTCAAGAGTTTTTGTGACAAATCAAAAAGGCTTTAAGTGCAACCTGACCAAAAAAAAGCAATGTAAATCATGTATGCAATAGGCATGGACTCATACATAATATATAACAGTGTAATTTAATACTTAAGACAATGCAAGGCAAAAAATTCTGCACTGACAAATAGTTATCAGAATGACATAAGTCATAATTGTTTCTTATATGGGACAAAGAAATAATGTTCATGGGGTGTGTTCATAGTATTCACATCAATTTTTAAATGCTCTTACTTCAATGTGAATAACCAAGACTTGACCTTTTCATATAAATACAGAAATATAATTTAAGTGTCATGTGAGAATATTTAGTCATGTGATAATTTGTGAAATTTCATAAGATTGCAGTTGATGTTTCATGTGAAATCTACTTTAATATTTAACGGTACACAATACTATTAAAAAGTATACATTTAAAACCGTTTTGTTTGTCAAAGCATTGTTTGCATACCATTCATTATTCAATCTTATGTATTTTTATTTCTTTCCCTCAGTATAATCGGTTGAATTTAATCTTAATTATTTCTAATTGTTCCACATTCCCCATTAACAAGAGCAATATGCTATTATAAATATAAGGTCTTATTTTTCTTGGTTAAATACAGGTGAATAAATACATAAATAATTCTGTTTTGAAAATGCAGGCTTATCAAAAGGTTTCATTAAAAGCCCGTGCCAGGGACACAATGAGAAAAAGGTTATCATTACCACCCTTTATGTATAGAAATCTTGTTTAACAATAGAAGCTCATTCATGGTCTTATTTTCAAAGTCTCCGCCGTGACTGCCTCTGCTAAAGTGAATCAAGCTTGTGTCAAAATAATGATGCCAGTTCCCGTCACTTTTAGCTCCAAACCCGAAAACATCGACCTATGTGAGAGACAGACAAATCAGTACATCAGTGCTTGAAATGCACTTTGGCTTAGATTAAATTAGACTTGTCACAGTCATGTTACTAATGACAAAGAGCAAACAAGTCATAACAGAGCTCATGGTAGCCTACTATGCAAATCCATTTACAAAGTAAACCTTAAACATTGATGGCACACACATACTGTATGACGTGGTCACTGTTCACTCATTGATGGTCTGTTGCATAATGCATATAAAGGCTGCATCTGAATAGTTATAATATGCACACCAAGTACACCAGCTTTCAAAAGTTTGGAGCCTGCAAGCAATAATTAATTTTCATATTTTTCAATCAGCATATTAGAATGTTTTGTGAAGGATCATGAGACACTAAAGACCGGAGTAATGATGAAAATTCAGCTTTGCATCAAAGGAATAAATAACATTTTTAAATGTATTCAAATAGAAAACAGCTATTTTAAAATGTAATGTCACAATATTACTGTTTTTACTGCATTTTTTTTATCAAATAAAATGCAAACCATTTACTATACCTTGTCTCTAAATGGCATTTAAAACCAAAACAAACTGTGGTTGGTCCTATTAATCAGTTCGTCTCTCAAGACTCGACTTAAAAGGGATCCTCCACCCCAAAACTAATTAATTTTCATATTTTTCAATCAGCATATTAGAATGTTTTGTGAAGGATCATGAGACACTAAAGACCGGAGTAATGATGAAAATTCAGCTTTGCATCAAAGGAATAAATAACATTTTTAAATGTATTCAAATAGAAAACAGCTATTTTAAAATGTAATGTCACAATATTACTGTTTTTACTGCATTTTTTTTATCAAATAAAATGCAAACCATTTACTATACCTCGTCTCTAAATGGCATTTAAAACCAAAACAAACTGTGGTTGGTCCTATTAATCAGTTAGTCTCTCAAGACTCGACTTAAAAGGGATCCTCCACCCCAAAACGAAAATTGTTATTAAATCACTTACCCCCATGTTGTTCCAAACCCGTAAAAGCTTTGTTCGTCTTCGGAACACAATTTAAGATATTTTGGATAAAAACCGGGAGGCTTGTGCCTGTCCCATTGACTGCCAAGTAAATTGCACGGTCATGGTCCAGAACAGTATGAAATACATCAGAACAGTCCATCTGCCATCAGTGGTTCAACCGTAACGTTATGAAGCGACGAGAATACTTTTTGTATGCGAGAAAAAAAAAAAAAAAACCTTTATTCAACCATTTGTCTCCTCTGTCTCTCTCCGCATCACCGTAGTGCCATTTTGGAGAATAACCACTGAACGCAAGCAGCGTACGCTCTGTGAAATGTCTGGCTCTGCGAGACAAATGTTAGAGGAATTGAAATAAGAGGCAAAAAAAAACTTCTACCTGATCACAGATGTGCAGAGCGAATATCAGTGTAATGAATCCAGTGGATGGGTATCTGCCATGTTTCTGCAGCCAGCTCTCGTAGACATATTTAATGAATTCAGGATGGATGATCATCACCTTAAAGACAAATCAAAACAATTATTGACTTAATCGTGCATATTTGTTGAGGAAAACTATGTAGATCAATATGTGAAAGTCAAAAGTTATATTGATTGATAGATATGATTCTCACCTTGTCTCTGTTAGCGTTTACTGTATGTCTCACTCTAATGTAAGTGCTGAAGAAACACAAAGATTCATTAAATTAAGAGGATTGCTGTAAAATGTCTGAAGGCCTGTTTCTCTTAAATCTGTGAGTGAATATTGATGATAATCTCACCGTGTGATGTGTTTAGTGGTGAAGGCACTGATGAGCCAGCGCATGTCTTTGATCTTAAAGGGCAGAAGAACCAGGTGGGTTGAGTTGTCTAAATCCACGGCGCTCTCAGGGTAGAGAATCCGGTGAGTGGTTTTAGACCCCACATCCTTCTCATAACCTTCTGTTGGACCCTTGTTTATCCTGAGCATGAAAATGCATTTTAACAATCATCTTTGGTCATATACATTGTCAAGACTTCAAAATAACTGACCTTATGACAAAGTCATGAAGATCTATGATAGGCCCATAATTGGATCTCAGGAGGTTCCCAGAGTTTCCCACCACAGCACAGGTTCTGCAGCGATCTGGACCGGCGTCTGAGTAGTGCTCTTCATCAGGAAAGACAGAAAACAATGTGTCCACCACATCTGTGTAGGTAACCTTATTGGTCTCAACTTGTAGACCCTATACAAATATTAAAACGTATGATCAGTTTGAGCCTTCAGAAGAGGATTCTGGGAAAACACATTTTAAAATGAAAACAATTTTAATGGCAATATTAGTTTAGCTAATAAAGTAGTCCACAAAATCTTAAATACATAGAAATACTACATTTGTTTCTGCCAAGATTAAAATCTTTGAGGTAAAATAATTACTTCGAAATTAACTTAATTTCTTTCCATTTTTATAATTTCCTTTAAGCACAGAAAACAAATATTACTGAAACGTTTTAGATCTTTTTAAGTTGTTGTATGCATTTCTGCTTCTAAGAAAATGTCATGAATATTATCTTAGTAGGAAGAACACGTTGGGGAAGAAAAATTAAATAAATTAAATAAAAAAAAAAGTTTGACAATCACAAATTCCCCTTCTGGAAAAATCATTGCCTTTATTCTTCACTGGAATCTTTTATATCGTTCTTTATTTCTAAAGAGTTTTGACATTTCATTAATCTAGCAAGATCTGGTAACAGTAATGTGTCGCGGCTTGCGTGCTTAGTTCCCTTTGCATTCTCGCAGCGCGCATACAGAAAATATACAAGAACTAATATCCATTTATGAGACAACGTGTGAATAGTCTGAACCATTTTAACAAGAGCTTTTTAATAAGAACCGAATGTGATCCTTAAATTAAAAACACACATTGGTTCCCATTATTACAAAATAAACACTTAAATATTAGTAATTATTAATACCATCGTCTACGTAGAGTGTTTGATTCGACTGAACTCACGTACCGTCCACCAGCTGTAGACGTCTGACCGTAACACGCCGTTTCTTCTGTTCAGCAGAAATGGAACAGTGGGGTTGAACCGCATGAAGAACCAATCAGTATCGTTCAGATCCGCGACACATTTATCACAAGCGCACAGACCTCTGCGGGTGGAAGCAACTGATGTTTTGAGGAAAGTATAGATCACCGCGTTTTGGAACAGCATAAAAAGAAAGATGATGCCAAATGTGAAGAGCGCTGTTATGTGCAAAGACCTCTGTTTAGTGAAAGGAACCATAATTTCAACTGGCTGACGAGGGTTTAGACTCCTACAATTGGAAAACATACAAAAGAGAGAGAGAGAGAGAGAGAGAAAAAGTGCCATTTATTATGTCGTTAATATTCCTACTACTACTACTAACATCATAACTTTGCTTGGTCTAAAACAAATGTCAAGGCAAGGTATAGCCTATTAAAGAGCTAAATGTCTGTGGCACCGAAGAACACGAAGAAACGCCAGCGGTGAAAAAGTGTTTGTTGCATATTAAATCCATAAGGACTGCGGTTTGTTCGTAATATTGCCCTTTAACATTATTCGTTTCTTTTGAATCAGCTTTAAAAATTTGGCAAACAAAACGCGAGAGATGGGTATTGCCAAAGTCAAGAACTGCTTTTCTGTGAGCGACTGCCCTATAGGCTACACTAGCTATAACATTAAAATGCATCTCTATTTACAACGAATAACAGTCTACAATAAGGTTACATTAGTTGACGTTGGTTAATGCATTAACATGAACTAAAAATGAGCAATACATTTGTTACAGTATTAATCTTTGTTAAAAAACACCTTTGTTTCTTCATGACTTGTGTTATAATTTGCCTAGACTAGAAACTATATACACTATAGTGATGTGTGACACTTCAGCTATAACAATCAAATTCATTTCTATTTACAACGAATAACAGTCTACAATAAGGTTACATTAGTTGACATTGGTTAATGCATTAACATGAACTAAAAATGAGCTATGAACTAACTCCGTTCCATTAAACAATTACTATCAACTATGCTTTAGAATGTTAATTTACATTAGTTAATATAAAAAGTTAAACTTTAAAACTTACCGGTTTGTTTGGAAATTGGAATATGGAACAATGGCAATAACCTTCAAGAATGTGTCAATCTGACAGATGTGTAAATCTGCTGATCAAGATATGAGGCATGAATCCGAGGAGGTGGTGTTTCTTAAGTTTCTGAAGTACACATCTCTTGATCACTCACTTCCTTGGCATATAAATGGTTTAACACGCAAAGTCATAAATAGTTCTCAGGTCGATTCTCAGGCCTAGCCATTGCCTTGTCTACTACTGGATTAATCAGTAGTAATTTACTCGCTACAGTAAAAATAGTGATATGCTATTGTGAAATACAACTTACTGTAGCCGTTTCCTATTTTAATATAATTTTAAAACTGAATTTATTCCTCGATAGCAAAGCTGAACTTTCAGCATCATTACTCCAGTCTTCAGTGTCACGTGATCCTTTGCTGTACAGGAAACATTTTAAGTGTTGAAAACAGTTTACAGTTATTTTCTGATTCTGACATCAGAGCACTTGACTTCAGCTCTTTGATACTTAGTTCTTATTTGTCCTACCAAAGACCAGCGTATATGATGAATGCTCAGGTACGTAATGCTCCTCACAAACTCTATTGTCTACACCTTTCACAATACATGGCTTTATACCAAAAGGGAGTGATTGTGGTGAAATGGTTGTTGATTGTTGCTGCAGAACCAGGAAGGTGGAAAAAAAAAATATCCTCCAGACACCTTTACAATCACAATCTGAATGACATGACCGGATGAGCAATCCTCTTTCTCTTTTGAAAGTTTAACCACATTATTTTCTCAAGATTTCTTCCTTAATCTCAGTGAGTTTGTCCCTGAAGGTTTCACATTACTGAAGTTTGCGTCAAAAATAATAAGCAATAGTTTGTACATTAGGCCTAACCTAACATTATTTTACAGAACACGCAGAATGTCTCACAGTGGCATGTTACTTCATATTGAAGCTATTTGGCCGATGTTAACTCGTGTTGAAATATTTTGAATTAAATGTATCCTTTATCTTATTAATAGAACGATCATTTTACCATAATGACTGCTCACTTTCTGTGGTTCACACTAACCTACTGTGATGCATTAAAGATTTATGTATTATTTACAAGTCAGGAACAATCCTTTGACTTTTTTTTTTTTTTAATCATGTGACATTTAACAAGTTATTTGCTTACACTTAACCTAGCACAATGGTTTCTGACCACCTAAACCTTTTCTATGTTAATCAAGTGGTCAAGGTTTAGCTGGTTAGCAAAGCCAGCTGGTTTTTAGACTAAATATTTTTGCAAGCAGTGTATATATTGGTAATATTTCTTTCCTGCAGATGTCTTAGGCCTACTACTGCTCAATTCGTTTTTGGAGGGCCCTTGAAAGCCAGAAATGGCATGAAACTGAACTAGTCAAAAAAGCGTTACTGAGGTAAAATGTGAATGTCAGCATACAACTCATTTCTGGAACTAGCGTTAACATGGTGGCAATGGTCCACAGTAAACTAACCAAGTGTACATCAAGTGAAAGTACCTCATCTGTTGTTTGGCAGCTGACATCCAGCAGATCTTTGAGCAATCATTTCACAATTACTCTTTTTCCATCTGTTCTACAGAAGTCTTCTGCCCTTTGTGTTGTGAATGTGTGCTGATATTATGTGCTTACCTGATTCCAGATCATTGTGAGCATTTGCATGGCTTGACAACTGATACATTTCTAGGTGTTTGGTCACACGTCTCCCTTAATACCAATCGCACCAATTTAATAATGATTGCAAGCAGCTGTTCATCTGGAGGTTGAGTATAAAGGGTTTGAGTCATTGCTTTTCCAAAAAAAAAAAACACACACACAAATTAAGATGTCAAATTAAGACATATTTAATATTTTGCTTTACTTCTAGGTCACAAATCAAATAAGTAACATTGTTTATGTGACTGTTATACAGGCAGTTTGAAGTTTTTCGTCTCAGCTCAAGATTCTCTTTGGATCATTCTCAAATTATAGTCAAGCATGATCTTCAGGCTTCATGTCAGGTCTAGCGCTTAGATCAGTAAAACAAAAAAAGCCAAAACAAAAAAAAGATTTCAATTTCATAGTGAGCAGTATGTGTGCATGTGTCCACTAGAGGGCAGTGTGAGCTTTTGTTGTCAAAGTCATTAAAAAGATCTGTGAGGATCTTTATTTCCTGCTTTTTTTATTGTGTGTGTATATATATATATAGAGAGAGAGAGAGAGCTGGTTCGTAACTGATGTAATCTGGATTATGTAATCAGATTCCAAAAATTAAGTACTTGTAATCAGATTAAATTACATTTTAAAATACTAGTTATTAGACTACAGTTACTTTTTTTATGGATTACATGATTACAAATTATTCATAATTTCTTGATTCTCCCTAATTTTAAATGTTCCTTTCTAAAATAGCCTACTGCTTATATACATTCAGAAAGTCTTCCAGTTTTGTGGACATTCACACAAAGATCAGTCATTAGTCTGGTGTCTTTTGGTCCTTCCTGTTTCCATTAGGTTCCCTGATTAGTTCATCATTTGTTTCCAGCTGTGTTTAGTTAATTATCCTCATTTCCCTGTGTACTTAAGTCCTAGTCTGTTCAGTTTGTGTTTGTCAGGTCTACGCGTGTTGGCTCAAATGCCCATTGTGGATTATCTTCTGTGTTTCTTGATTAAAGACTGTTAAACGTTTCCTCGTGACTCCAGCGTGTTCTCTCAACAGCGTGACAGAAGACCTGACCAACTACAGTTACCTCTGTGTGTTCTGTAAGCCTTCGTGAATGTTGCTGCTATCATAGCGGGGACCCAACACGTATCACTGAGAGCTGCTATCAGTTGTTTTTGGTTCACCTATAGGAGATGGAGAGTTTGGGCCCTGGCGGTGTGGCAGCGGCCGGAGGGCTCTCACAGGAGGAGGAGGACGAGCTGGGCCCACAGGCTTTCTTGGTTGGGGGGCCTGCCATTTAGTTAAGATTTTTAGATAAATTCCTCAATAGAGGACTCGTATTTTAGGTGGAATCAGTAGTTTGAAGTTAATGTCTTAATGATGGATATTTTTCTATAACAAATACACAGCTTTTCTCTTCACAAAATGTTAATTGTTGGATTGGAGTTGTGTGGATTATTATGATGGTTTTTATCAGCTGATTGGACTCATTCTTATAGCATGGCACCCATTCACTGAAGTGGATCCACTGGTGAGCAAGTGATGTAGTGCTACATTTCTCCATTTGTTCTGTTGAAGAAAGAAACTGCTCTACATCTTGGATGGTCTAAAGGAGAGTTAATTTCAGCAAGTTTTTATTTTGGGTGAACTACTCCTTTAACTGAATCTACAACCATAAAAAAAAACACTTTCATAATAGTGTCTCAGTACTATAAAATACCTCTGCCATGAGTCATGAGATCAGATTAGATGCCTCAACAGTTTTTCATTAGAATATCATGCACACCTCAAGCTCGTGTGTTTTTCTTTCAGGATAAATAAAGGCCTGACAGAAGGTTATGAGAAGGATGTGGGGTCAAAGATGACTCACTGGTTTCTGTATCCCGAGAGTGCCATGGACTTAAACAACTCCACCCATCTGGTGCTTTTTCCCTTTAAGATTCTGGACATGCAGTGGTTCATCAGTGCCTTCACCACTAAAAACATCACACAGTAAGAATTAAACACACATTTATGAACACAAGACTGTAAACTAGGTGATAACATTTAAAGGGGACATTGGATGCTAAATTCACTTTTACATGGTGTTTGAACATAAATGTGTGTTGGCAGTGTGTGTACACAACCACCCTACAATGATAAAAATCCACCCAGTGCTCTTTTTTTTAATTTTTTTTTAATCCCCACAAATCATAAGCACTTTTTCGGATCAAGCCATTCTCAGATTCTTGGCAGAGTGACGTCACACAGGCCAAGACCCCTCCCACGAGTGTTGATTGACACTAGTGTTTTATCACAGACCTGCCCTGAGTGAGCTTTCATCAGTCCACCATTGTTTCGACGCCGAAGCAGGTGTACACAAGAATGTCTCCTAAGCGATTTAGGTGTTTTGTTGTTGGTTGTATTAATGAATATAGCAGTTGTCATTTACTCCTGACATCTGAGCCACTGAAGACGCAGTGGATTACTTTTGTTTTTGAAGGCAGTGCGATACCTAAAAGCGTTTGTTTGCGCATATCATTTTCACAGAGGAGGTGGTGTTTCTTAAGTACACATCTCTTGATCACTCACTTCCTTGGCATATAAATGGTTTAACATGCAAAGTCATAAATAATTCTCAGGTTGATTCTCAGGCCTAACCATTGCCTTGTCTCCATTGACAGACGAGGATTAATCAGTAGTAATTTACTCGCTACAGTAAAAATAGTGATATGCTATTGTGAAATACAACTTACTGTAGCTGTTTTCTATTTTAATATCATTTTAAAACTTAATTTATTCCTCGATAGCAAAGCTTAATTTTCAGCATCATTACTCCAGTCTTCAGTGTCACATGATCCTTTGCTGTACAGGAAACATTTTAAGTGTTGAAAACTGACATCAGAGCACTTGACTTCAGCTCTTTGATACTTAGTTCTTATTTGTCCTACCAAAGACCAGCGTATATGATGAATGCTCAGGTACGTAATGCTCCTCACAAACTCTATTGTCTACACCTTTCACAATACATGGCTTTATACCAAAAGGAAGTGATTGTGGTGAAATGGTTGTTGATTGTTGCTGCAGAACCAGGAAGGTGGAAAAAAATATCCTCCAGACACACCTTTACAATCACAATCTGAATGACATGACCGGATGTGAGCAATCCTCTTTCTCTTTTGAAAGTTTAACCACATTATTTTCTCAAGATTTCTTCCTTAATCTCAGTGAGTTTGTCCCTGAAGGTTTCACATTACTGAAGTTTGCGTCAAAAATAATAAGCAATAGTTTGTACATTAGGCCTAACCTAACATTATTTTACAGAACACGCAGAATGTCTCACAGTGGCATGTTACTTCATATTGAAGCTATTTGGCCGATGTTAACTCGTGTTGAAATATTTTGAATTAAATGTATCCTTTATCTTATTAATAGAACGATCATTTTACCATAATGACTGCTCACTTTCTGTGGTTCACACTAACCTACTGTGATGCATTAAAGATTTATGTATTATTTACAAGTCAGGAACAATCCTTTGACTTTTTTTTTTTTTTAATCATGTGACATTTAACAAGTTATTTGCTTACACTTAACATAGCACAATGGTTTCTGACCACCTAAACCTTTTCTATGTTAATCAAGTGGTCAAGGTTTAGCTGGTTAGCAAAGCCAGCTGGTTTTTAGACTAAATATTTTTGCAAGCAGTGTATATATTGGTAATATTTCTTTATTGCAGATGTCTTAGGCCTACTACTGCTCAATTCGTTTTTGGAGGGCCCTTGAAAGCCAGAAATGGCATGAAACTGAACTAGTCGAAAAAGCGTTACTAAGGTAAATGTGAATGTCAGCATACAACTCATTTCTGGAACTAGCGTTAACATGGTGGCAATGGTCCACAGTAAACTAACCAAGTGTACATCAAGTGAAAGTACCTCATCTGTTGTTTGGCAGCTGACATCCAGCAGATCTTTGAGCAATAATTTCACAATTACTCTTTTTCCATCTGTTCTACAGAAGTCTTCTGCCCTTTGTGTTGTGAATGTGTGCTGATATTATGTGCTTACCTGATTCCAGGTCATTGTGAGCATTTGCATGGCTTGACAACTGATACATTTCTAGGTGTTTGGTCACACGTCTCCCTTAATACCAATCGCACCAATTTAATAATGATTGCAAGCAGCTGTTCATCTGGAGGTTGAGTATAAAGGGTTTGAGTCATTGCTTTTCCAAAAAAAAAAACACACACACAAATTAAGATGTCAAATTAAGACATATTTAATATTGTGCTTTACTTCTAGGTCACAAATCAAATAAGTAACATTGTTTATGTGACTGTTATACAGGCAGTTTGAAGTTTTTCGTCCCAGCTCAAGATTCTCTTTGGATCATTCTCAAATTATAGTCAAGCATGATCTTCAGGCTTCATGTCAGGGGTGTATTCCAGAAAGCACGGTTAACTTACCGTCATCTAAACCCTGAACTTTCGGTTGATTAACCCCAAACCTTGCCTACTCGAGGTATGTGGTTCCAAAAACGTGTCCGGGAGTAAGTTCATTCAACTCTGAGTATGTTCCTGGTTAAGACTCAAGAAGACATTCTCAACAGAGTGACGAATCGACGAGTCGCTATGGAAACGGATGCTAAGAAAAAGCCTGATCTACCTAAAAGCGTTTGTTTGTTCCACAAACGAATGCGGCTAAAGTTAACAGTCTCACACCTTGTCTACACCGGATGCGAGAGGAGCGACGCAACAAAATACTGCAGTGCACTGTGATGTTGTCTAAACTGGATGCGGTGCGACACGACAAATCCCTGACATTAAACTGCTACTTCATTCTATTTATGACGTACTGACACAAAGTTCAGCAACGGTCACTTTGTCGCGTCCACTACACTACATTAAGGTTGCCTTTGTAGAGGGTTTATAAAGGGGTTTGTTAAAGACTAAGTCATTTACAAATGAATTTTAAATCATTTGAGTAGTTATAACTGCATGAATAAGAATGGTGACTTTAACGGAAGATAGGGGCTGGGTGAGCAGTAGCTCATTAGCATTTAAAGGGACATGCACGGAAACGGGTCACTGTGAACAGATCTATTTTTGACAAGGTAAACAGGGTGTTGTTTTACCCTACCATTGAGAAATTTTAACCAAAGTATGTTAGACTTTTCATGAAGACCCTAAGGAATCATACTGTACCAACTTGTGCAAAATGGGCATCCGATGTCCCCTTTAATATATCACACACAAGAATGTACATACAGTTAAACATCCTGTAATACACCAAAAAAACTAAAAACAAAAACTGTAAAACTATCTATTAATTATATGCATTTTAAAAATAATGTATTTCCTTAATATAGGTACAAATATTTTATACATGATTGTGAATAAACATTAATAAAATGTTTAATTAAAGGGGTCATATGATGCGATTTAATTTTTTCCTTTATTTCTCTGATCACAAATGCAGACAGGGTTTTATGTTTATGCGGCGCGATGCAACGCAACGCGTAAAAAGACTGTATAAGTCATTATAATCAGTAATTATGTCCCCACTGGATGCAACAAATGCCTCGTTTGTAATGGGTTTTAATGTTTTTGTCTCGTCGCTCCGGCCGAACACGGCATCAACAGTATGTGAGGGGCGTAACATTTCCGTCTCACGCTTGAGGTATTCGGCCAATCAGAACGCACTGGATAGCTGGCCAATCACAGCACACCTCGCTTTTTCAAACCGATGAGCTTTGTAAAAATTGACGTGTTTCAAAAAGTCGGGGCAGAGAGGAGAAACAATAATGTACAGTATGTGGAAAATAATGTGTTTTTTTTACTTTAAACCGCATAAACACATTCCATTACACCAAATACACCAAATAATGTTCTTTTTAGCAGCATCATATGACCCCTTTAATAAACAAGTCAAAACAAACAAGCAAAAAACAAGATTTGAAAACACAAAGCATCAAGAAACTGAACACCAGCTTACAGCTAGGGAATAAAACACGCAGGAGACCCAACCAACACCAACAGAAATACAAGGCTAATAATTTAAGGAATAATGAGGGAAACAAGGGTTGCTTCTCAATGTCCCTCCTCGTTTCCTCACTCCTCCGTCCTCCATCCTATGACCCAGAAACCAATTGAGCTCAGGCATCTTGCAGGACATCTCAATTCTCTAATTATGATGAGGTGAGGATCGAGGAGTGAGGAGGCTTCCTGGGGAGTCATGAGCAAGGATACTGTTAGAAAACACTCTCTGTCTTGTTAAGAGAATGTTCCAGATGTCTCACCCCTCCTTTTTTTCTCTCTCAGTCTTCTATATATACAACGCATTCTCTCTGAATCCTCCCTTCTGTATCCATCTCTCTCTCTCTTGATATTATGTTTTAAATATGTCTTACTTATATGCGAAGTATGCATGCTTAAATGTATACATTAGCTTCTCTTGGTTCAAATGTCCCAAATAAGGACATGATAGCTAGGAATGAGGTTCGTGATGAAACTCTGAAGACAGTTCAGCATTCTTCGCAAAAGTCTATTCCTAATATGTCCATGTTTTTCTGTACATGTGGCCATTTTATATAAACACATGTTCTTGGCCAAAGATCCTACGTGTATGTTATTCATATCCTCATTGGTTAAGAGGGTGAAACTCCCCTCGACATATGCCTATATAATATCTGTATTTCTATGAATAAATTGAAGTATTGAGGATACATTTGACTGTGTGTCTTCTTACTTCCCGGCCGTCTACACTTTAAGTAACTGAGAATTCTTCAAGGTGGCAAAGAGAATTACAGAGGGACTAAATTGTTATTCTTTATTAACAGATACCTATGCTGAAGTGTTTTTCTGCAAAAAACTGATATGCATATAAATCTACCCGGTCACATGGCAAATACGTACCTGAGGGCACATTTTTGCAAGACGCGAAATACTTAGCAATAAGTACATATCACTGTAGTTTCCCAAAAAAATGAACACTAGAGGCAGTAAAACTCCAACACCTTTTAAATTATTTTCACACAGAGTATGATTTACAGAGTTTCGATTAATAAAGCGAAATTTTCGCACAATTACTTGAAGAGTATTATGTTGTGACTTCAACACATTTTTAATATGCTGGGAGATTTGAAAACTGATGCTTTTGATTGTTAGCACCGCACATATCCAGCTTCACATCAATGGGTTTTCATAGACGATAGGTTTGTTCGGTAGCTCACGGAGTACGGAGTTGTACTTGAGAGGTGAGGAGCTACGGTTTGAATCCCGTGTAACTACGGTTCAACAAAACAGTTAAAATCTGCATATAATGAAGTTAAAATGGCACAGTTGCATAAAAAAAAAGGGGTTTTATATCAGTTTTGCATTTGTTAACACTATCGGGTAGGTTTAGGGTTGGGTTTGGTGTAGGGCATATTTCCAACACGACAGAGCATTAACTTTTAGCGACAGTCCCCGGATATTTGAATTCTGAACCGCCGCAATACATACCTGAAGCAACGTAATAAAAACACAGCAATACGTACCTATATCAACGTAATAAAAACGTGCCAGGGTTGACGTATTGAACCCGTGTTTTAGCGCCACTCAGTGGACATTTCTCTTTGAAACTGCGGCGAAACGTGCAGTAAGGTACGTAAAAACGGTGTTGCAGAAATGTATGCAGAGGTACGTATTTTTATGAGACTGGGTTGATATAAATTATCCTCCCCCCTTCTCATCTGTAGGAATAATTTACATTTATATTTTACCTTTGCAGTTTAAATAAACCATACATGTCGTATATTTAATCAGGGCATCTTGCTTTATTAATATTTATTATGAAAACCTTAAATAACGAACTTTAACAACATAAGGGCAGATCCCTTTAGCGCAGCTGATGATGCTTTTAAGTGACGCTTGAGTGGTCAAAAATATTCCAATGTTCATTCTTTGATTCCTCCGTCCTCATTTCCTTTCCTTGCATCCTTCCCTCGTATCCTAAATGGGGTGGAGCTAAGACGTGAGGAAAGGAAACGAGGATGCACAAATAAGAAATGAGAAGCACCCAAGGAACACCTGGAGACAATCAAGGAACTAATAAACAATGAAACTACTGACTACAAGACTAGAAAACATGAAAGACCAAAACGTCAGCATAAAAGACTCAAACAGGGAACGTGACTAAAGATCAGCAGTAAAAATCTACAATGAAATTTCAGTAACATTTTTTATTAAAACTAACAACTTTTTTTAATCTGATTTTTGATCTGAATTTATTTGTTTGTTTACTCAGAACATACGTACAAGTGCCATCTACAATCAAAGCAAATAAGGTCAAGGTAAATAACACAAATCTTCTCATGAAATCAACCACTCAGTCAAATAACAGATGTTAATTTGCTTTGATTTGCATGGCTTACTGATATTACCTGATTGAAATCTTGATACTGTAGACTCAAGACATGATATTATAAATGCATGTTTTATAAATGTCCTGTTTTAATTTTGTCATTGTTTTCAGGTGATGATCCTCCACCCAGAATTCATAAGATACGTCTATGATAACTGGGCAGAAGGGCATGGCAGATATCCATCCACTGGTTTCTTAACACTGATGTTCGCTCTTCACATCTGTGATGAGGTAAAACTCCCATTCGCAGTTGTGGCGTTGCATTGGCGTCATCTTTGAGGGAGTGCCAGGCTTTACAGGGATTTAAAGGAGTCAGAATAGAGCCCCAGGGTGACAGCAAATATTTGATTGTGGGTTTTAGCATGAATAAGAGTCCAGGCTGTTTACACAAAAACAAAAGGCCTTTCAGGAAAGTGTTAGCAATGAAACAAGAGGAGCTGAATCATATCCTAGTGCCATATCCTAAATCTTTCAGCAATACCATCCTCAATATTGCTTAATGAAAGAGAAAAAATAAACTGAATTTAATATTATTTTTGGAGGAATCATTTTCTCACATTTGTTTTTTTTAAGAGGGCTTTTATTTTTGCATGTTTTCTTGACTAATAATAGATTTAAAAAAAATGTATATCTTGAATAAGACTTTTCTTCACAATGACAAAGAAACTAATAATGCATGGATAACTCTTTCTCTTACAGGTGAATATATTTGGGTTTGGAGCTACGAGTGATGGAAACTGGCATCATTATTTTGATAAAACATTGACTTATGAGATCGGCGTTCATGGTGGAAAATTAGAAAGTGAAACAATTAATCGACTCGAACAGGAAAACAAGATTTTGATTCACAAGGGTTGGACATGAAGCAAAAACACTCTTAAGTACTGCACAATATTGCATTGCATTGCAATATCGAATATTTAATTTTGCAGATTTGTGCAGCAAAGACTTTCAGTTGAGATTCCTATCAAGAGATCAACTTTAGTGAATTTTCATTTGAGCTCCACTTGCAGCACCAAATGAAATTATGCCATGGATATATATTTAATTTAATTTAAATGTGAAGCTTAAAATGTATTGCCACTTCATATAATAATTATATGAATGTATTAGATGAATTATAAACAACTATATATAATGTAAATATAATAAGTAGCCGCAAAAGTTTGGCAATTTTGTCTCTAAAATTCTTTGACTGTAAACTGCTTTAATTTGGAGTGAGAGATGCTGGGGAGTGGCTTCATTGCATCAGATATGTCACTTTGCTCACAGCTGATTGGTCCAGTTTGGGTTTGCGATCTCTAAACCAGAATAAAACCTGTTCTGGAGCAGGGTAGCTGTGTAGCGTAAATTACCATGATGGCAAAACCTGCTCCAAGGCAGAGGCAAAAGTGTAATCCACAAAACAGGCAATGGTCAGGGGTAGGCAGCAAACAATCACACACAAAAAAAACAAGGTAACAGTCCAGGGTCAAAGGCGAAACTAGGAACACAGAAAGAAACACGAAAACTAGGAATAAAGCTACAAATATTCAATACTCACCCTACGTTCCATTCGGAAGGGCTCATCCCTATGCCCTAATCTCTTCAAAGGGTTTACCCTCCGGAGTGAGAGCGTTGAAGGGTGTAGGGGACCAAACAACTGTTTCTTGAAGTGCCCTTCTGCCTCATCATCACATGCCCACACGGAGGCACCGTCATCATGCAAAGAATCTGTGCAAAGGATCATGGTAGCCCGAAAGTGTCCATCAGTTGTACCCTTCGAAATCCTTCATTCTGAAGGGCCCTTTGAAGTGGCCAGTTTTGAGCACTTCTGTTTGGAATGACCCTTCAATATGGCAGCCATGATTGTTTTCACTCTGATGTGCCCTTCAGAGGGTGATATATCCCGTTTGGAACGCACCGTACATGTGTGTCTGTGTGAGTGCAACCTTTATAGTCCTCCTGACAGGAAATGGTAGGAGTCCGAGATTGGTTCCTAGGCAGAGGGTTATGGGAAATGGAGTCCGGGGTAAGCCGTAAAGGTAAAGGGTGAAGTGCCCTCTAGCAGAATGGATGGGCACTCCAGCTGGTAATTGTAACACATACAGTGGGGCAAAAAAGTATTTAGTCAGCCACCAATTGTGCAAGTTCTCCCACTTAAAAAGATGAGAGAGGCCTGTAATTTTCATCATACGTATACCTCAACTATGAGAGACAAAATGAGAAAAAAAAATCCCGAAAATCACATTGTAGGATTTTTAAAGAATTTATTTGCAAATTATGGTGGAAAATAAGTATTTGGTCAATAACAAAATTTCATCTCAATACTTTGTTATATACCCTTTGTTGGCAATGACAGAGGTCCACTCCAGGACCTTGAAATTCTTCTTACGAAGCCACTCCTTCGTTGCCCGGGTGGTGTGTTTGGGATCATTGTCATGCTGAAAGACCCAGCCACGTTTCATCTTCAGTGCCCTTGCTGATGGAAGGAGGTTTTCACTCAAAATCTCACGATACATGGCCCCATTCATTCTTTTGTTTACACGGATCAGTCGTCCTGGTCCCTTTGCAGAAAAACAGCCCCAAAGCATGATGTTTCCACCCCCATGCTTCACAGTAGGTATGGTGTTCTTTGGATGCAACTCATCATTCTTTCTCCTCCAACCACGACAAGTTGAGTTTTTACCAAAGAGTTCTATTTTGGTTTCATCTGACCATATGACATTCTCCCAATCCTCTTCTGGATCATTCAAATGCTCTCTAGCAAACTTCAGACGGGTCTGGACATGTACTGGCTTAAGCAGGGGGACACGTCTGGCACTGCAGGATTTGAGTCCCTGGCGGTGCAGTGTGTTACTGATGGTAGCCTTTGTTACTTTGGTCCCAGCTCTCTGCAGGTCATTCACTAGGTCCCCCCGTGTGGTTCTGGGATTTTTGCTCACAGTTCTTGTGATCGTTTTGACCCCACGGGGTGAGATCTTGCGTGGAGCCCCAGATCGAGGGAGATTATCAGTGGTCTTGTGTGTCTTCCATTTTCTAATAATTGCTCCCACAGTTGATTTTTTCACACCAAGCTGCTTACCTATTGCAGATTCAGTCTTCCCAGCCTGGTGCAGGTCTACAATTTTGTTTCTGGTGTCCTTTGACAGCTCTTTGGTCTTGGCCATGGTGGAGTTTGGAGTGTGACTGTTTGAGGTTGTGGACAGGTGTCTTTTATACTGATAACGAGTTCAAACAGATGCCATAAATACAGGTAACCAGTGGAGGACAGAGGAGCCTCTTAAAGAAGAAGTTACAGGTCTGTGAGAGCCAGAAATCTTGCTTGTTTGTAGGTGACCAAATACTTATTTTACCGAGGAATTTACCAATTAATTCTTTAAAAATCCTACAATGTGATTTTCTGGATTTTTTTTCTCATTTTGTCTCTCATAGTTGAGGTATACCTATGATGAAAATTACAGGCCTCTCTCATATTTTTAAGTGGGAGAACTTGCACAATTGGTGGCTGACTAAATACTTTTTTGCCCCACTGTACTATGTACAGACAAGCAGATATGAGCCCATAATACGAACACAACGCATTTAATTAAACATTAAAGGTTTTCCTTATGGGATGAAAATGCTTAACGTGCAATTACATGCGTTGTGTTCTTATTCTGGGCTCATATGCTTGTCTGTAAATAGTATTCTTTATTAATAATGGGCCTCATTCATGAAACTTGCATAAATATATGAGTAAATTCTGAGTAATTTGCGTGTAAAACAGACCTTCCCAAAAACTCTCCTCTGGATTCACAAACGCTTCGTAAACTTCCGATTTGATAGTTAAACATGTGTATGTTAATGAATTCCAATCATTCGTAAATAGGGCTCTCGTGCACGCTCATTCACAATTAGCATTGTGAATTACAATGAATTACAGCTACGCAAATGTTGTGTCCAGGAACGCAGTGGAAAATTCTGGCCTACTTTCTCAGGTTTTGCTCCAGTATATTGCATAAATGCAAAAAAGACTAATAGGCCATATGCCTAACAATAAATATTCAATAATGTGTGTCCACCAAAGAGTTTTTAGCCTGCTGAAAAAATGTCAGGCGTTTTTCTTAAAATGACCAGCTGGTGGCAGAGAGTTTTTCCAGCTGACTGAAACGCTTTAGTTGTTATGATTTGCAATATCCACGGTGGCAACGTATTATAGTATCTCATTTTTAGAGGGGTCATATGATGTTGCTAAAAAGAACATTATTTGGTGTAATGAAATGTTTATGCTGTTTAAGGTTCAAAAAACATTATTTTCCACATACTGTACATTTATTGTTTCACCTCTATGCCCCGCCTTTCTGAAACGCTGCGATTTTTACAAAGCTCATCGGTCTGAAAAGCGAGGTGTGCTCTAATTGGCCAGCTATCTAGTGCAATGTCATTGGCCGAATACCTCAAGCGTGAGACGGAAATGTTACGCCCCTTACCATACTGTGACGCCGTGTCCCGGAGCGACGAGACAAAACCAATAAAACCCATTATAAACAAGGCATTTGTTGCATCCAGTGGGGACATAATTACGGATTATAATGACTTATACTGTCTTTTTACACGTTGCGTTGCATCGCGCCGCATAAACATAAAACCATGTCTGCATTTGTGATCGGAGAAATTACAAACAACAAGCGCTACTCTACACTGCTCAAAACTCTCGTTTAAATCGTCAGTGGCAAATCCTTTAAATATGAAAATGTACTTGCAGACTGTGAGTCAGAACAGCCGGCATTGTAGTCTACTCTCCCAGGATCAGGAAACAGTCCTCCATAAAATGCGCTGCACACATCTGAATATTTGGGTTGAACTGTTCTGGAACAGTGTTGTAGATACGACTTAACCACTGATTTCTAGTCGTGTCCTCTTTTGGGAGGCCAAACAAAGTACAAAGCGTCTCCTGAACATGTGGGGGGGGGGGTTTAAACGAGGCATTTTAGGGGGGCGTGGACCAGTCTTAACTTCTATAAAGAATATCTCTTTGGGTTTGAGACTTTAGTCTTTGCAACTTTAGGAATCTTATCTATTCACGAACAGCTTGTGACACTCCAAAGAGAAAGGAAAACTTTAAATCGCATCATATGACCCCTTTAAGAATTTTACTAAATATAAAAAAGCAGTAACCAGTAATATTGACTTCTCCATTGTTGTAGGCAGTTGGGTGGCTGGTTGCTATTTGTCCCACCCATCCTCTATTTACAGCTGGGTAAATAGTGACAGTGACTAGCGCTGCATTTTACAGTTATATATTGGCAGTAATTATTATGGCAGTGCATCAAAATTCAGTCTCATCAGTTTGCCAAAAAGAACACAGAACGTTTTACACACCATTTACACATGGTAGGGAGCAGGTGTACATTTCAACATTTTGAAAATACGAACGTTTTCCTGAATTCGACAGTTTATGTCAGAAAGGCTTTACGAACGATTTACACAAATTCGTTCTGCTCGTGTTTCATGAATGAGGCCCATTGTGTTTATAGAGTTTGGTCTTTTAAAAACACCTTTTTTTTAGTGCATTAAGCAATGTTAAGAGTTTTCAATATAACGGTTTTCTATGGGAGAAAACTCTTAACACGTAATTAAACGCGTTGCGTTATTCTGGACTTTTTTCATGTTAAGCGTTTTAGAATGTCTCTTATTTACATACATAAACATAGAGGGAAGATATCCATCTTATTTTACAAGAAGTTATGTTCTGTGAATGTGTGAAAGTGCAGTAAAGGGTCAAATTACTTGCACTACTAAGCATACACTGTGTTTATTATATTTAAGCAATATGATAACAAAATAGCAGTTTGCAATATAAAGCAACATGACAGACTCCTTTAGTACAGGTAAAATAACTG